GCTCAACCCAAGCCTAGCCCTCCTAAGCCATACCCCATACCCTTGAGGGCAGCCACAAGGTACAGGCTCTCCCGCCCATGGGCAGCTGGCTCCTATCCTAAACCCCACTGTTCCTCCCTTGGGAAAGGGCCCCACCTACGGGTGAAGGACAGAGGAGGAGCTCTTGGCCCCACCATCTCACCTCCCTGCCCTGGAGTTCAGACCAGGGGTTGTAGGGAGAGCACAGAAGGGCCAGGTTCGCTGAAGATGGGCTAAGGGGGAACAAGGGCACCTTTGCAGTGACACTGCCATCTTCCAGCGGGTACACAGCAGAAAGCCAGGGGTCCCAAACCTAAAAACCAGTGGCCTAGATGTGGGAGGCAGGTTAGGGGTTTGCAGGAAGGAAGAGCCGGGGAAGAGCTTAGTGCAGACCTGTAAAGACCTGTTGTGTGAATGCAGCACGGACAGAAACCTACTCAAGACCTGGTGATTTCTGGTAAATTCACAATCCAACATCAAACTCCAGGACCCCAACCACATGTACAGTGTGCTAATGGCCAGAAATGTGTTCTGGGACTTGGGGGTCAGTCAAGAAAAAGCATGGGAAGCAGACTGTTCCCTGAGCTGCTTCAGGACTGTTTCATTAGGAGGTAAAGGATGCTGTAGAACCACCTGTGCCTCTCTATCAACCAGGGAGTCTAAACAGCAAATTTAGCTGTAGTTGTCTCCCCCGTAGATGTATAAGATTAGATGAACTCCACCCAGAGTACACCGAGGCATTTCTTAGGTTCAAGAATAGGTTAAACAAGTTATCAGAACTGGAAAACTTTGGTGCTGGGAACAGAGGACAGAAGTGCCCTAGACCTGACTTCTGAACCAACAAGTTGTTGAAGGATAAAATCCATGATCCCCCATCACAGAGTTTACAGATAAACTTTGGGGCTGCAGCTTCCAAATTGAGACAGCTGCCATGCAGAGCAAGTGATAAGAAAAAAACTTTAGATTGTTTTATTTTTTCAGAGAAGGCCACAGCTGAGGGCATCTGCACCTTCCCCAAGCCATCAGCTCCTTGACAAGCAGCCCATTTCCTCTTCTGTCCCCATTCCTCCCAGGGCACCGCAGAGCTCAACCAGCAGTGACAGACCATGTTGAAGATCACAGATGACTTGTTTGCTGGCAAGCAGACTTCACCTCCCTTTCTCCCAAGTGCCTTGACACAAAGGACAAAGCAATGCCTGTACAAGCGTCACCAGTCCTTGATGCTTGGCTGATCAGCATCATCCCAGGCAGAAAAACATCATAGTTTTTGCTCAAATGGAGCAGGAGCAGCTCCCAGAAGCAGAATGCCCTGCTTTGTCCTGAAATGGAGCACAACCCTTTCACCCTTTGCCATGCTCCCACCCGCCTTCCCAGCTTCCAACCTTCAGTTTTTTCAACACCCACAATTTTTCCACTCTGCCACATAGCCATGAGAAATTCCCTGCCAGAGGACTTTGCTCAAAAGGGTTTTTAAAAAAAATTAAAAAAAAAAAAAATTCCCTACTCCAGGCAAACAAGCTCCTTCCCATAAGGAAGAAGGATAATAGCACAGGCAGGGAAAAAAACCCAAACCCAACAAACTATCCCCAAAGCCTGCTGTAAAAAAAGAATATTTGCTCCAAAAGATTTAAGCATACAGCTGAGTCACTAAAATGAAACCTCTCCATGTCCATAGAAAGCAAACAATTCTTGGGTCATGCAGCAGAGATTCTCTATGGCCTTGTGAGAAGGAAAGAAAAAAAGCAGCCAAATGTAATTAATCATACTCCCAGAAGAAAGGATGAAATCTCTGTAATTAACTACCTAGACTCCTGTTTCCACTTTAGAAACTAATCCAGCTGCCTGCTTTCACCTTTCAGCCACAGGGCTGCCACAAAAGTCTGCTGCAAATACCAAATCACCTTTGTTTAGGATGCACTTGCCTGCAACAAGTGATCCTACAACAGCTTCGCAGAAAGTGTACAGGGAGGGAGAACCTTTGCAGAATGCAAACAGAACTCCTTCTCTTAGTCACCTTTTCTAGGTGTTTGCACTCTCCAAGAGCAGCCCTCAGCTGAACTACAGGAGTTATTTCAAGCTAGGTATTTAAATCCACAATCTTGACCCAACTGATCAATTACCAGAAAACACCAATTAAGGAAAAAAAAAAAAGTATACAGAAATGAAAACACTTTTTAAATGGTTAAGGTTACGAGTGCTTGTGTTAATAAATTGGCTTATACTCAATTCTTGGATGGTGAAATTTGCCTGACCAGCAAAGTTTTGGAAAACACTGGGGGGAAATATAGTACTTCAAAGAGAAGAAGAGGAAAGGCTGGAGCTGGTGGTTACAGCTTAACAGCAGAGGTCAGGATCTAACATTCAAAAAATCCTATGCAAATCAGAATAAGACATTCAACTTCCCCAGGGCTCCCTTAATAAATAAGGGTTGACAAACATTATTCCAACAATGAAAACAATAACAGACCAGTTCATTAGGTCAAATACATCAATGGTAAATGCAATACAGAAGAATAATACCAAAATGACATCAGCTGAAAACTGAGACTGATTTCTACTCCCTCTCTTGTATACAAAGCACTGCTAACATATGAATAATGCTGTCAACAACAGATGGGGAATGCTGGCCAGCTCTGTGGTGAGGAAAAGCAAAGAACACAGTGGACAGAAATCTCCAGCTTTGCTCTTCCATGACACAGCAGAAATGCTTCTTCTCAATGGAAGGTGATCGGGTCATTCTTCTGGGAAAAAAGAATGGAAGTGATTACGCAGCTCCAAGTACAGCTGGAGCCTTCCTGTACAGATGAGGGAAACAGGGAGGGAGGAGTAGCAGCCAGGCTGTGGGATACAGCAACAAGGCCGAGGAGCCTCGGGCACGTCCATAGTGCAACAACACCCACTCCTTCTCCTCCGGGTCGGTGGGGCAGACACAGCCGGAGGGGATGGCGATGCTCTGGGGGCTGTTCCGTGGCACAGAGCTGTTGTCAGCTCAATTCCTGCTCTCCACCCATATCAGCCCGGTGGATGGATCCTCTAATCTTTGCACTGAAATCTGGCAGAGGGGCTAAGCACAGCGGGGCTTAGCTAACATTGCTACCAAACACCCAGAGCTGCTCTCTCAGCCTGAAGCTGCTGTTTATCAAATTTTATCAAGCCTCCCTGCACATCAGGGAGCTCAGGAGGGCGCTGCCAGCCCGTCCCTTGCTGATAGAAATCCCGGCCGTGCTTGCAGAGGGCTGCCCAGACGCTGGCTGGGAAGGGCAGCAGCTCCGGGCAGCCAGGCTGAGCTCCCAGCGCTGCCCCCAGCGCAGCAGCGGGCAGGAGCTGCCCTCCGCAGGATTCAGGCAAAACAACCCCTGCAAAGACAACAGCTAGCTCGTTTTCCACGTGCAGCTGCCTTACTTTCCCATCATGACGGGCAAGGTTCACTTTTCTCAGCGTTGTGCTGTGGACAGGTCCAGAAGCTTTCAAAGTGAGCGAGTCTGGAAGCCTCCCCTTGTCTGGCAGCACCAAGCCCTAACATCCAAAAGGTGCCCTTAGGTCCATGTCCCTGACTAATTAAACGACACAGGAGATTCCTTCCCACTGCTGCTTTTCTATAAAGCCGTGACTGATGCACACACTGGAAAGTAAAACCCCATAAATTTTTGCTAGATAACAATGCTGCTTCTATGTTGATGTTTAAATATGGGCATATAACCAAAGATGAGAACTGAGGTAACCTTTACTTCCAGTTAACACATAAAGGTTTACAATCATTGTATTTGATCAAAAATAATACCTATTAAAACCAGCACTCAGTCAGTAACTTCTCTAAACACTTTTAAATTGTGATCAGTTAATATTATGTACGTCTCCAGTTTAAATTTTATGTGACCATGTAATAATGACAAAATGAATCCTCCTGGTCAGTTTTGTGTCACTTGGCCAACACTGCCAAGGTACAGCAGCCAACAGGTTTTAGGGCTGTTTTAGGTTGTAACCCTAAGGTTACAAGTTTAAGGTGTTCTATTCAGCCTATGAAAGGATTTCACACACAAAATTGCATCACTGCAGCACCTGATTACATGTGGATGCACAAGGGGGTTCAGAGAGCAACACATGACACCCCACATCATAATCCACTGTGCCAAACACCCAGGAGATGTATAGCCATACACAGTCCACAGAGCTTATGGCACTAGGACAAGGATGAGACTGATTTTTACCCTCTGTCCTATGCTATAGAGTTATTTTAACCTGAGTCTGCAGAAGCAAGTACCTACAGTAAAGAGAAGTAGAGCAAAACAAAAGCCTGAAAGCTCACAAGGGATTCTTTTTCCCCCACCAGAGCAATGCTGGGGAATCCTCCAAGGAGATTACAGCCACATGCACTTCACTGCCTGCAAAATTCTGACACACCACACCTTTTGAGCATTTCTTTCCTACTCCAGAGTGTAAGAGAAGGTGGCAGCCTGCTGTGATGTGCCAGGCTGTGGAAAGTCAACATGGAATTGTCAGGTGTGTGCTTCATCTGCTGTGACAGGGTTAGACCTCCTCACTCTCTTCCCCCACTGTCCCAAGCTCTCCTTCCCCTTTCCCGTAGTCTTGCCCTATATTGAGCATCCCCCAAAGACATAATTTCTCCACCAATTTCACAGATTTCCATTTCTCTGTTGTACAATATAATTTCTTAAAAGCCGCTTTCCAGCATACTCAGCTCCAAAGGCAAGACAATCAGGAGAAACAGAATCCACTTCTCAGTCCAGCTTGTTTTTAAATGTACTTAAGTAGGCAGAAGGTGAGATTTTCAACAAGATCTCCTTGAAAACAGTGGAAGTATTCTTTGTAGCAGCATAGAAAGCAAAATTTTGAGTTCTGGTATGGTCCTCTACTGCCACCAGGAGTAAGATAGCATCAAAAGCTGCAGGGCAGCAAAATATCCCTTAGCAGCTCCCTGAACGATTGCAACAAAATCAACACCAAACAAGTGGGCCACTCACCTGAATTTGGTGGATAGAACACCTCCCAGGGCAGAGCCAGAAATAATGCCCACTCCAAAGCAAAGGCCCAGCTTCCCTAAAGCACCAGCACGTTTGGAAGGAGGAGTCATATCTGTAATGACCTTCTGAGCGCCTGCAGGGAGGAAAGACATCCCTTATAAAAACCTTGCCACAGGGTTTGAGCAGAGGCACCAGCAGTTCCCATGGTTCTATTGCTAAGCCATTAAGAGCTTTTTGGTTTGGCTTTTGGGTTTGTTTTTTTTTTGTTTGCTTTTTTCCCAGTTAAAACTTTTCTGGGCTGCTTTGTGGTTAGAAGCAATTTCCCCAGCTTTTAATTTTCATACTTTGCACGGAAGAGGGCCTCCAAAAAAATCACTGTCACTCTCCTCTGGGAGACCCATCCGTTTTGAACAAAACAGCCCATGAGTCATGAGAAACAGAACCATTTAAACCACTCAAACCACTTCACAAGTGACAGGAAGCATTATCAACTTGATTCTTCTTGCATGAGTTACATGGACTTCCAGTAGCTGAAGTTTATGACTTTTACATGAAAAATATAGGAAACATCAGCCAAAACAGAACAGCTTGGTGGGTAATGGAAGGTATTATTGTAATAATATTTAATTTTTACCAGTACGCTCATTTTGCCAGGTGAAAGGGAAAAGTGTTCATGTAAAATATCCTGGTTGCAAGAAGACAGCTGAAAAGTCTGGGACAACACTGCTGCCAGCAAGTGACTTGCACCCATGTCTGGATGATCAAGGCCAAATGATTTCCTCAAGATTATACAGGAAGATGGGCCTGGAACTCAGACTAATAAGCACAGCTTTCCACAGCCTGAACATCTGCTGCTTCATGTTCCCACCATTTCATCCCTGAGGACCATTACATGTTCCTCCTGCCTTCCTTCATGCTGTTGAATGTACTGACTTCCACCAAAACAAGCAAGAAGGTGGGGAATCAGGCAGTAAAAGCAATTTGGAAAGCTACTCATCCCTGACTGATCTTACCTGGTATCCCATGCATGAACACTGCTGGCAGCCTGGAGAGGAAGAGGAGGGGGATGCTGGTGGAGAGGGACATAAGCAGGAAGAAGATGCTTCCAGATGCACAGGAGAGAATTAAGGCTGCTCGGGCACCAAATTGATCTGCAAACCTGGTACAGAAATGGCACAAGGTTGTCAGTTTTCTATTTAGGTTTAAATTTAAAAAAAAAAAAGACTCTTCAATAGTAAATCATTTTTGCTCCTGTTTAAGGGGAAAAAACAACACCACAACTAAACACACTAACAACCACAAACCCCCCAAGCCCCAAAACACAAACAGGCAAAAACCATAGTCAGATCAGGTTTTGACCCAGCTCCAACTCTTTTCTGTAATTCAACTCCAAAAATCTTAAAAAGCGTAAGTTGGATGAAGCCTGAGAGTACCACAGAAAGGGTTCTGAGCAACAGGGCCTAAGATGACAATAAAACAGTCCTAGGATAGAGTTTCTCATTGCAATTTCTCCTTCCTTCACTTTATTGAAGCTGCATATTACAGTTACCAGATGAACATTACCTTGCATAGCAATTAATTGTGCTTTCACTACAAGGAACAATCCCCTAAAAAATGCCAGGGTTGGTCTACAAACAGAGCTTAAGTAATTAAAAGGTTTTGTGTTGAGGAAGAGGTACAGGTCAAAACTTCACTGTTTACATGTAAGCCAGGGCAGTTTACATTTGCTGTTTGTAACCTAAAGACCACAAATCATTACACTGTTGGTGTGGGGGGTTTTTTGTTTTGTTAAAAGTAAAGACAATAAAAGTGCTTTATCTTTTCATATCTGTTTAGGAGCATCAAGCAAGAACACGGAAAACTGAGCTAAGAAACACATTCTCTCTTATCCCCTTTCTTCCTATTTTCTATTTAATCTATCCCTATGCTGGTAGCAAAACAGTCTCATTTCTACAAAAATCTTTTTTATCTCAAATGTACATTGCAAATTTTGGCTTCAATCTGGCAGAGGACACCTTCAGTCCCAGACAGATTCTGGTTTGCCATTTTCCTTCCCTTCAGCAGGATTCTGATTCTGGATATTAGTGAATAACACGTGTGGAGGAGAACCAGATTTCAGATGGCACCAGATCCAGGACAGAAATATTACTCTAGGTTTGTGAATTAATAGGAAAAGCCTTAAAAGCGGGTCCTTTGCACCATCTCCATTCTTAGAAATGCATTTTCTGCCAAGCAGTATCATAGAATCAAATGTTGCTTTGATGTATTTGAAAATGTGTCCAAAGGCTGAGATCAGATCCTCAAAATGCCACACTCCACGTACCAGAGGAACCTGTAGAGCTCCCAGTCTACATCAGCCAGAAAAGTAAATTCCCTACGGGTAAACTGAAGCAGCTCCCTACCTATTTATCAATTTTTCAACAATATCAGTTGTTGATCAGTAGCAGTTGATCAGTAGCAGGATCAAGAAGAGAAGTTAGATTTTCTCAGTCTCATTTTGGTTTTCTGTCACTGAATTACACATATCATTCAGGGGTTATATTTCCTGGTCTTTAGGAATGTATTCTCTCACCACGCAAAATTTTTAGGGCTATTTAAATTTCATTAGGAACTGTTCCATGGGGTAAAGAGGCAAAAAACCCAAGTCTTTTCCACTCTTTTCTTATTTTGATAGCTGAGTTTATAGTTATTCTTAAAAGATTCTTAGAAGTTCTTAAAGGTCCATGCAAGTCTAAACTGTATTCAACATGGATGCAGATTCAGCTGATGAAATGACACAACCTTCAGTTATTGTAATTAACATCTCTACTTACCATCAGTAAATATCCTCCTTTTTTTCCTTCGGTTTGCCAGTCACAAGACATTGCTAAGGGTACACATGGCTATAAAACATTTGCAGGATTTAGCTGTTAGGATCTAGGCTCTGAGGACTCTGGTGGTTTAAACCCATTCCCAGGATTTTGTTACACTTAAATGTGTGTCATTAAAATGTAGCTAAGTTAATATAAAGGCTGCTTCTATGCTGCAGTATTTCTAATAATAGCATTTATTTTTCCTTTCCTCATTATGAAATCCTCAAACATTTCAACAGGACCACAAACCAGAACTAGATTATTTTTTATGGAAGTGTAAAAATGCCTGGCCTTTTTCAGCCATGTAAAGGGTCATGAGAATCATTCTCACTTACCTTCCAAAAATATAACCTCCCACAAGCTGGAGGACACCAAAGAGGGTCTGGAGATAGCCAAACCCCACTGAATCCAAACCTAGGCTCTTTCCCATGTACTAAAAATGAAAACAAAACAAAATAAAAAAACAGAACCATCAAATAAATGGGAAAAAAAGCATGTTATATTTGTGAATAAACATCTTAATATCTGTGTGGAGAGGATCACAGCTCCAAACAACCACTTCCTTCAGTTCCCCACTCCTATAGAGGAAATCTTCATTGGGCCAGACACTGGCAGCTTAATACAGACCAAATGTCTCTGTCCCACACCCTGAAGGACAAGGACAGGTGGTCAAAACCATCAATTTTGCACCAGGTGACAAGTTTGTGTCACCATTTACCTTAGCAGTTCAACACAGCTGGACATATTCAGCAACTCCTAAGGGGGATAAGGGAAGTTTTAAATGTCTTGCTGCCTCCAGACCCTGCACCTGGAACAGCCTGGTCACCCTCTGGGAGATGACTATGGAAAAGTCTTGGAGCTGTTGTTTAATCAAGCAAGCCAGAATTGATGCACCTATAAGATGAACAAATAATGCCTTTACTGGATGGTACACCCACAGCCTGAGCTTGCAGAAAAAACCAGATGCACACCTTGAAGAGCCAATGGGCAGTTATTTCTGATTCATGCTTTTGTTGTGTCCTGTTTTTGTCTAGCCTGGAGGTGCAGGGAGACCTTATCTCTCTCTGCAAATACCTGAAAGGGATTGGTAGCCAGGTGGAGTCAGTCTCTCCTCACAAGTAACCAGCAATGGGACAAGAGGAAATGACCTCAAGTTGTGCCAGGGATGGTTTAGACTGGGGATTGTGAAATGTTTCTGCACTGAGAGGATCAACAAGCACTGGAACAGAGTGCCCAGGGAAGTGGTAGACTCACCATCGCTGAAGGTATCTTAAAAATGTGTAGATGTGGCACTCAGGGACATGGTTTGGTGGTGGACTTGGCAGTGCTAGGTTTCTGATTGGGCTCAATGACCTTAAGGGTCATCTCCAACCAGAAGTCCTCACTGATTCTATAAAATCAGACAGAAGAGTCCAGTAAGTGAGAAGCAATAAATCCCTCTGAGCTGGTTAATTACATACTCAGAAAAACCCACCTTTGATCTGAAACCTCTGCTGCCTGGGTCACTCTCACACTCCATGCAAGAAGACACAAACTACATCAGCTGCACACAGACCCCTCAGGCCAGGAAAGGGCTCTAGTGCTACTGCAGTCCAAGTGATAAAACAGCTTTTATGGCCTGAGTGTGCCCTGGACAGACACAGCCTACCTGTTTGGTAAGAATACCAAGTATTCCTTTCAGTTTCATGGATATCTTTCCTCTTTCCTGCTAAAAAAAAATCTTCTGACTTTGCTGGCAAAGTACATAGCCTGGCATTGAAGGAAATGTACTGTGAAGCAAGAGAATCCATACTCACAGGCACGACTCCCATCTGAATGAAGAGAAAGGTCAGGTCTAGCGCTGCAATCACGTAGGCGACACGGATCACTTGTCCCCTCTTGGCCTCTCCCAAGAGGCCACTCTCTCCCAGGACCTCACTACTCATTCCTGAGGATTCTTCCTCACCTCCAGAGCTGGCTTTTGCACTCATAGTGCTCACAGAATGACTTGTTGCAGGATGGGCTGGACAACGACACGAAGGCACTTGTTAGCTGCGAATGTGAAGCATAGATAAGGAGCACAAGTTGTGTGCACAGTTCAAAGCTTACGCTGTGAAAGGTGCTGAGCCAGCACACCACGGATTTAATGTTTCTTTCTTTCTTTTGCCTCTTCCTTTTGCTTACTTGCTAGGCAGGATCAAAGGTAACCATGTATCCAACCACAGATCTGGTTCTTCAGCTTTGTCCCAGGTGGGCTCACTGCCCCAAGAGCCATCACAACAAAAATCAGCCCCAGTGAAGTGAAAGTGAACATTGCCCGAAACAAGAGCACGTGATAAGCTCTTCAGCTCTTTTAACTGTTTCGCTTCCTTCACTTTTATTGCCCCTGGTGGCTCAGGAGAGATAGCTGTTTTAATTCTTCATGGAAGGCACTTTTATTTTTGGAGGTTGCAAGTGCAGCTTAGAGCAGAACAGTTATTTCCAATTCCACTATGTTTATACAGATCCTGTAACAAACACAGGTCTTGCATGTAGTTAGAGCCTTTCTCATCACCTTTACCTGAGCCATTTTCCCTCCTTTCCAGGTGCTGTAAATTTATAGCAATTCTGAGCTAGCAGATGCTCACATGTGACTCCACTCAAACTACAGATTACTAGCCAAGGTCAAAAACAAAAAAAAACCCTGAAGTATTAAATCAAACAAATCATGAGGCTGACTGCCAGCTGGGGAGTGAAATAAAAAAGACTCGTTTGGCCTTTGGAGTGTTGTTGTTTGCTCTTTTGTTTACTTAGGGTTTTATTTTTTTGTGTGCTTGCTGATTTGCTTGGGGGTTTATTTGTTTGTTTTCTTACTCGTTGAAGCCTGCAAGTTTGGTTGAGGATTATCTTTATTTTGAAGAGAAAAAGAAGGCAGAGATTCCAATGCTCTGACTTTGTAGAATTACAGGACTTTTGGAAGGAAGTGGAGATCTCATCCACCCTGCTGCTTGAACACATCGGTTCAGCTGTGGCTTTTTTTAGGCAAGCTTCGAAAATCTCAATTAAAAAAGATTTGCCCCTTCTCTCTCTTTTTTCTGGGGAAGAAGTTTTTCCTGCTGTCCAGTCTGAATTTCTTGTGCTTCAGCTTGACCATGTCACCCAGTCCCTCTAATTTAGTAACACCTAAGCTTAGAAACAGAGTCTTGACTCACCACAAAGGCTGACACTGACACATCAACACAGAAACACACACAGATGTCTGCTGGCTTGGCTCTGGAGTGGTTGTCAGAGCTCTAAGGTTCCAACCAAGCCTAGGGAGAGTGACCTGTAAGATCTCTGGGCAAACCTTTTTGTTCAACATGTCACCACCAAGCCCTGGGGTTTGCTGAAGTCTGCCAGGCTCTACCTCCTGGCAAAGGAGGGGGAAGCCCAAAGGTTAAATCTTTCACCAGGGCTGGGTACCATATCACTGGAGATTGCAGAAACAACCCTTCACAAACTCAGAGCATGAGTGAAAAAAGCACCTTTAAAAATGACTTTCCTACAGTAATACCGGCACTCAAGCAGATCCAACTCACAAGACCCCAGAATTTGTGTTTGTTACTGAGGAAGGATGATTGCCCAGCACGTATCCCAGCTTAGCAAAGGATCAGTGCTTGACATTTGGTTCATCTCAGAGCAAAACAATGGATTTGTCTGCACTTTGAACATCCTTCAGCACAGTACCAACATCATCACTCCCTGGCTTGTGCTGGATAGGCACAATGTACAAATTACCATAGAATAGAAGAGTAAAATTAATGACAGAAATTCTGTTTATGGAGGTTTCGAGACAACCAAAAAAGCGACTCATGCAAATGCAATGTATAACAGTGCTTACAGGAAACCTTGCTGACTTGGACTTGGAAAGCATCAATAATTTGACTGGTGAGTTTGTTTCAGCAGCAACTGAAAACAGATCCCAGCAAGGCGACCACAGCAGCAAAGACTTGCAGATGCAGCCACTCTCCACCAGATAGGAGCCTTGTCCTGCCAGGGCATGCAGTGCAGACAGATAGCCAGACACATGCTGTCCCTTGGATTTGGCTTCTTTTTACTGGCACTGACAAGGGAAGTGGAGTGAAAAAACCACAGAGTTTAATTTCTCGCCTCTGGGCCTAAAGACACAGTTCTAAAAAGCAGGAAGCTAAACTTGGTGCCTGGTGTGGAGGTGTCCATGGAGAATAAGCTGTGATCATCAGTTCCTGTACACCCCTGGATGGTTTAGCACCCACGATTGCTCCTTAGCAGCTCAGATCAGGCTGCAAGTAAGAAAATGCCCTGGGCCCAACCTGGTGATCCTCTCCTAGCAGCAGTGTCTTTGGACAGAATCATTTCTCTCCCCATCCCAGCACTTTGACCCACACAGGACAAAGGCAAGAAGGTGGCAGTTTTAAGCCATCTTTACAAGCCAATGGCCAGGTCATGTCCATGCTACCCTGGCCCCAAGGATGCAGGGATGAGCTGTATTCTCCAAATCTGGCCAAGATGTTGGCAGCCTCGAACCATCTCAGTATCCTCTTGCAAGGTCTTTTGCACAGGAACTTGGACTTTCCCAGCCTTCAGCACCTGATTTTTAGAATCTTTCCCCTTGAATCAATCAGCCGAAGGGCTAAATGTGGCAGCAGGAACACTGATGGAAATACAGCCAGTGTGATCGACACAAGACAAATTTTCCTCCTCCCCTGAGTGAGAAGTCTGACTGAAAATGTCTGCAGGAGCCTAAGTATGGTAGAGATTAACCTTGTTCCCAGCTATGCTCCACCGAACACCATGTTTGCAGCCATGCAGCTTGGGGCCAGCTCATTTATACCTGTAGTGATAATGCACCACTAATGACAGATGGCATAAGCTGGCACTGCACTTTTATCTAAAGGCTCCTTTTGGCTCAATTATAGACTACACCATGGGTAGCATTCAGTCACAGACAAACCATCTCTGAAAAACAAAATTAATTTTAAAACTGGGAAGGAACAGGTTATGAAGAGGAAATGAGTTTTCTTGGGTAGGATAAATAAACTTTGAATGGACATATATTTCAGGGAGACTACCATGAAAATGAGCAAGGAGATTACCTTGTGGTAAAATTGCAGAGTAGTCCATTAGCTTAGTGCATTAAGCCTTGACACTTATTCTCAGCAATTTTGGAGTATTTATAGTTGCCTTCCTAGAGTAGCTTTCCTGAGGCCTATTTATCTGGTGATTTTTGAAAAAAAATAGAGCAGGAAACCTGAGAACATCTTTTAAAAAATCATAAAGGCTCACTGTTTATGTTACTTGGGCAGAAATTTTTTTCTTAAATTGCTGGAATGGGAAGCAAGGCTAGCACATGCATAGGGAAGGGAAATCCACCCACATCAGTGACAGAAGTTGAAAATGTTGGTTGGAAAACAATAAACTGGGGGGAAATAAATCTCAGTTCCTTCTCTGAATTTGTATTTTTTTCTCAGAGGAAGCTTAATATGATCTGGAGGAACATGAGGTACCCTGGGTGGGAGCCTGCAGAGAGTCAAAACAAGTTTTGAGCCCTTAAGGAGCCTTGAAGGGGGATGAAAATGCAGATGTACTGCCCAGAAATGAGTGGCATCTCTCAGGCCTCAATCCGCTATGAATTTGAACTGCCCAGTGTCTTCAGCTACACAAAAAAAACCAGAATTGCAATGAAGCAAATCCTGCTCCAGTACAGATCAGTCACAAATCCTTGCCCTTGTGGGTGCGCATCCAAGGCAAGCATGGCAGCTGGCTGGGAATGCCAGGGAGGGAATCACTGCCTCTTGCTGTCAACAAAACTTTCATTTCTCCTTGCAAAGAGAAACAGCATTTTTGTGTACTGGGGGTGCCAGGGAGGACATGAGGTACGAGAGGTATCGTTATAAACATACCTCATCTCCCTGCCCAAGAAGCAGCAGAGATAACCCTTCCTCTCTTTGGAAGAGCTTTGAGAGGCCACCAACCAAAACCAGTGAGGCATGCAGACATTCAGACATGGAGGGACAAAACAAACCTTCACGGAGACACAGTCCTCAGGGAGCCATTGTCCTGGGCAAGTTTCTTAAACTCTGTAATATGAGAAAGGAAATGGAAGAATTATCTCAAAGCAATTCCTCATTAGTGGGAATGCTGAATGGTTGTAATGAGGGAAACTGCTCAACACCAGCCATGGTTGGTGGGAGCCATCAAATCTGCAGGATCTGGTCTGATCCCTCTCTTTCCCCGACCCCAAGTCTAAGGGAACAGACCTCATTTGTATTCTGGTGAAAGATTTATACAGTTAAGCATATAAGAGCATAGATGGCCTGGTATTGCCAAAATTATATCCCAAGTTTGTTGACTGATTTATTCCTTTGTCTAATTGTGTCCATGAAAAAAGCAGCTCACTAATGAATGGAAAAAGATTTCACATGGCCAGCAAAAAAAAGGAAAAAAAAAAACCCCAAACCAGCCATGTTTAGTTTACAAAATAGCACAGTCTTCAGGGATTTTCATAAAAACTGCAGAGACAGTCCAAATCGACAATGAAATCAGATTCCTGGTAGCTGCTGAACTCTTTTGTGTTTTTTTATGTGTGTATGAAATTGCAAAAAGCAATTATTTATAATTTGTTTCTTATAAAAATGCTGGTGCACTTATTATGCCTGGCAAATTATTTTGTGAAATGGAAAAGGCTATTGTTCATTCTCTTGGTAAAGTCTTTGTTACTTGGCATATTAAACTGCAAATCACATTTTATCTGAAAGGCCCCTTCCAACCCAAAGCATTCTATGATTCTATGAAATATGGCTGGTTGTTATTAACTTTTTAATGGTAAACCTCCAAAGCTCCAACTAATACTGAAGCTTCATTTGGCGCTCTGTAAACATAAAAAGAGGTTGAGACTCTGATGAGGGAAAAGCATTAAATCCTCCTTGTCTTGCAGAGGGGACTCTAACAGACAGAGTGGTTTAATGACTTCCCTGAAAAGAGAGAAAGTCTGTGGAAGAGGCTGGAGTCACATTCAATCATCCGTTGGATGCCAGTTCCCTTGTTTAACCACAGGGCAGTTTATTCTCTCTAATATTCCGGAAAAATTAAAATAAAAGAGAACATTTCTGAATACTGGAATTTGACAACAAAAGATGAAGATGAGACAGAGACTGTGTCAATTGTAAAAGAGTTTTGGAAAAATCCTGTGGCCTGAATTCAGGAGAGTTACACCAAAAATAACATGACCAAATAGGAAGAAAAGCTCAGTTCTTTGTACCCATCCAGTCTCCTGGGCTCCAGCAGGACCTC